TCATGGCTCTAACTCTTGTGTTAGAGCTGTGTTAGCAATCAATACTTTTATTAACATGCTCTACTTCTTGTTACTACACCGAAATGGAAGTTGAACTGTATTTTTTCTGTTATATATGAATTCGTTTGTTATTTTGAAGAAGTTCAAAAAGTTCAAAAAATCAAAGTGGTATCTCAGAGGAAAAATGCATTTCACTTTAGAGAAAGTGAAGTAAAATTTTTCAGTTTTTCCAAATAGTTACAAAAAAAATGCCCATGCAATTTCAATAAACTTTCATCTGCAGCCTTAAGCAAAGAGCCTCTCAAGATGAAAATTTTTGTACAGCTGGATTTGTCATAACTTTCTAAAATGAAAGAAAAAAAAAGTGTCTGGTGGAAATGTTCTCTCTGTATGGAGGAATTAAGTCAATGAAAATTTTTGACTGTGGATTTGAAAGCTTTCAGGCGTTTTTATTGTTAATGAACTGTTACCACTGCACTGGAAGAGCCAGTGCCCTGAGTTCCTCTTCCCAGCCTCGCTGGGGTCTGGCTGCCTCAGCTCAGAGCTACCCTAAGATGTTGCAGGTACCTGGCCTTGAAGAAAGCTCTGCTAGGAAGCCGCCATAGGGACTGCCTCCTGCTTTACCTGGGAGCTGCCTTTAAGCTGAAACTCCTACCCTTGATCCCTTCCTCAGCTGCACAGCACTCAGGATACAGAGGCTGGCCTGGCTGGGGAGGCCCGTTCCTGCCAGCTGGGTCATCACCTCATCACCCAGCTCCCCTCCATCAGAGAGCATCAGCTCTTGGGAACCGGGAGAGCAAGCCTGGCTTCTAAGTCTACCCAAAAAACACTGAGGCAAAAGTTATGAAATGTAGTTGGGGCAGTCTCACAGCTGCTGAATGGAAGGGAATAATCATATCCCTTGAACTGCTGGCTGCTCTGGTTGCAGTAAGTGGGATGAAGTTGTCCATCTTTGCAGCAAAGGCCGCAGCTCATTCATTCGCCTTGTCCACCAGGACCCCACAGTGCAGCTCCTTCAGCATTCTGAAATGCCTCCCCTCCATCCCCTGGCCTTGTGTACATCTAGTTGGCCAAAGTGCTGTCAAACTCTTCCTCTGCAAAAGCTAATGCTTCACATCCCCAAACTCTGCTACTAGACGCAGAGAGCTGGAAGGTTGAGCAGGCCTCACCAGCAAAGACCAAGACAAAGGTGGCTTTGAGTATCTTCTTTTTTTTCCCGTGTCTTTTGTCACTAGGTCCCTGATACATTGAGGAGTGTCCCCGTTTTCCTTAGCCAACTTGTTGTGATAGATTCATGGAAGTTTTACTTCACAGATCTCACCAGTTTTGACTCCTGTTGAGTTTTGATGCTGAACAGCACGCCTGTGACTTCAGACAGTGTGTCTGTGTTCCTGCTTCCCCTATTTCTGTACTTCCCTCCATGTGTTTGGGCTCAATGGTTTTGTGCTGATCGTCTTACCTTCCTGATGCAAGGTTACATGATAAACTCAATGGCAAAAAGGGCTTGCTGAAAGTCTTGAGGCAACAAGCTGAAGAAGGTTGAAGAAACTATTACAGTGAAATTCTCAAAGCAGCAGTTTGGGATGCAGTTTTGGGATGCGTACGGCACAGGAAATTAAGCTGTGAGAATAACCTAGAAATCTTTGTTCATAACAGCAGCAGAATAGGACTTATGAGCATTGATGGGGCTGATCAGAAGGGGATAGCAGAAAGGACCCGAGAAGTATTAATGAGTACTAGAGGGAAAGAAAAGAA